TAGAGTCTAGAACATTGTGATAGAGTTTAGAACATTGTGATAGAGCCTAGAACATTGTGATATAGTCTAGAACATTATGATAGAGTCTAGAACATTGTGATAGAGTTTAGAACATTGTGATAGAGTCTAGAACATTGTGATAGTGTCTAGAACATTGTGATAGTGTCTAAAACATTGTGATAGAGCCTATAACATTGTGATATAGTCTAGAACATTGTGATAGAGTCTAGAACATTGTGATATAGTCTAGAACATTATGATAGAGTCTAGAACATTGTGATAGAGTCTAGAACATTGTGATATAGTCTAGAACATTGTGATAGAGTCGATAACATTGTACATACCTTCTCTCTGGACCTTTACAACAGAGTCTAGGAAGACCTCGGAGAAGGCCAGGGACCCTGTAACCTTGCCAGGATGAGTCACACTGGGTATGTCTGAGAGGAGGAGGCTCACAGTCTTTATCTTCAGTGACCTCTGGCCATCCACTACTGGACACGAGCTGTACACACACAATCACACATGTACCTCTAAACCATTTCTATCAAAATTTAATTACAAATTATTATTTAAAAAAAATAAAATAAGATCAGTGAAATCACAGATCTGATTTTCTTATTTAATGAACAATCATTAGGCTAACATTAACTATGATATCATGAGAAAGGAAGTAACTGTTTAATAATGACACAAAATTCTCTTTGCAATTTGGAATCCCCACAGCTTTATAACAAACTGTACTCACTGGATTAGAACTGGCCTTAGACTATGTCCAGTCAGTCAGCTATTTGGTAATAAATAGGTTATTGTATGGATGGTCTTAGACCAGATGTGTCAAATGTATTTTGCAACTGAAGACAACTGCCTGAGACCATTTTCAGACTCAGTACTAGGAGCCAATTTATTGCTTATTTGTCATCAGATTTAGGTCACATGTCTAGATATAGCTGTGACCTTACCTTGACTTCAATCCCCAGACGTCATGAGGATATGCCATGGTTACAACGTAAACGTCAGGACAGAGGCCAATTTATATTCATCTGTGTGCGAGGAATCACTGTCACATGTAATTGTGACGGGTAGCTGAATGCTGGTAAACCAAGGCTACATCTGTAGTACCCACATGTCAGAGACATCGTTTATTACATGTACATAATCATAGAAATAAGTTGCCTAATCCCTTTTAAATATGTGAACTGTACAGTATGCAGTAAATTCTAGGTAAAATAAAACAGAAGTTAGTTAGAGTCCTGTATCCTGACACACTGGGATTTAGAATGGCCAACATACTTTTCTGGTTTGTGTATACAATAAGAAAAGGCTGGAATTGTTCACCTGTTTTTCATTTCATATTTTGACCTTTCAAAAATTTCAAGGTCATATTTATTTGAATATCATTACATAGCACACAAGGGATTTTTTTGGAACATTTTACCACTCTACACCTTATGAACCAGTCTAACTTATTTCACTGATGTGACCTTTAAAGTTTGTCTAGATCATTTATTCATAGCCCATACTTCAAGATTATTTATTGATTTTACTATTTATTTAACAAATTTGATACTGTTTATCCTGGCATTCTACATTAAGCTAAAACAAATTATCCTAGGCTGTTTAGTTATTGACAAAAGGTTTTAAGACTTTTAACCTTGGCTACCTTGAAAGTGACAATCAAGGTCTTTCATTTGAACTAAATTGATAGCTCTTCATCCCAGCATACTTCTGGTCAAATACCATCACACAAAGCATCTTAATTACTCAAAAGAAAATGTTGAGAAATTTGACACCTGCTACCTTGAAAGTGGGTCAAGGTCATTCATTTGAGCAAACATGATAGTCATTCATCCCAGCATGCTACTGACCAAACTTCATCATCTTCGGCGTCTTGTTGAAGTTTTTGACAAACTTGACCCCTGTTACCTTCATTCACAAGCTTTGTTGGGCTCTATTCCAGAAAGCTACCAGCCAAAATATTTGACTGTGAGTATTTTGGATCTTTAGAAGAAGTTGTTTTGTGTGTTGAAAAAAGTTTAAGTTCCATTTTTTGCAAGCTTTGTAAGGCTACATCCCAGGAAAGTACCATGCAAATATCACGATTCTAGGCTTGTTGGTTCTTTAGAGGAAGTCATTTGAAGTTTTTAATATATTTGACTCCTGTGATTTTATAGAACTGGTCAAGATCATCTTTTTTTTAAATTGTCACGCTAAATCCCAAGAAGCTACAAGTCAAAATATCATGACTCTAGGCCTTTGGGTTTATCAGAAGAAGTTATTACAAAAAAAAGATGATAGATGACACACATACATAAACAGGGGAGATATGTCTGGCTTTCCAAGACATACAATTTCCTATCTCTAATACAAGCTTCATATGATTTTCCTATCTCCACTTATAAACAAACCGAAACTTGACAAATAAAAACACCGTAGAAGTTATAAGGAGAACAGTATCCTCATGTGATAATGATATAGATAGACAGACTTTCTATCTCATACATAATTTTTTATGGCAGGTAAAGAATAAGCTATCAGAAAGCCACTGATATTTTTGCCTGGTGTGAAGCGGAATGACAACGTCTGGCCGTAATGGCTTATAAGTACTCTCCCTAAAATCAGAGAGTTTTGGTAATCTTCCAAACCCCGTGGGCCTAATGATCATGACAACATATTTGATTTAATATGAAATGAAAAAACTCTCTCTTCTGATGTGGCATTGATAAAAAGTCTTGTTTTATAATACACAGAAAGTCTATACTATGTGGCAAATAAAATTCCAGCCATAAAAATCCTTATATTCAGTCCTACTAAAATTTGAAATGTATCTCAAACACAATTCCCAATATAGACTGAAAATAAAAATGGTCACAGCTTGCCTTTAAGATAGATACACCAAAAATCTACCACAAATTGGTAATACACATATTTTGTGTGTGGGAAGTACAATCGTGGGATTAGGGAAAGGCCATGTATGGCGCCAGCAAATACTCTATTTAGAGCTCAGCGAAGATTCCATACCAATATGGCTTCAGGACATTTCAGCTCTGTAAGCAAACATGTCCCATCAAGCTTACTTAAATTGTCTGATATCCCATTGAAGAAACTGCTGCACTATTGAGTTGACTTAATACCACAAGCTACTCGCATGTTCCTGTCCTATACATCCCCAATGAGAAGCAATGTTAAAACAGCTTTTTTCATTTTCTCAGTATAGAAGAAGAGGAAGGGGAAAAACATGTTTTTTTCAAATGATCTTTTAGACAAGTTTTCTGAAATGTTTTTTTTTTTGATAAATGTTTTTGTTCAAGTTAAGTTTATAGAGACATTCACGTTATAATTCATCACCATGGCTCTCATTAAAACAAGACAATAAATTAGAAGCCAGGACAAAGATTGTGGGTGAATTGATTTTGTACGGCTGCCATATATTAATCTGAAGATCAACCCTTCAAATAGATTTGGACACATTTTAAAATAAAATAGTGATAGATGACAGAATCCCTTGTCCTCTATCAGTTACGTAAGATAGTGAAAAAAAACAAATTTTCAGACAGATAGGTCACATCCCTGCTAATTAGTAATTATTGCTATTCTTAAATCAAATCCTTTCTCATTCCCGCTCTTCCCAATATCAGCTGACAAAAGGCAGTTGGCAGATAAATTCATTCAATAAATGCAATCTGACAAATTTTGGCCCAAAAGCAGACCTTTAGCTGTTCATAATCAGAACAAGCAGACGTCTAGCTGTTCACAATCAGAACAAGCAGACCTTCAGCTGTTCATAATCAGAACAAGCAGACGTTTAGCTGTTCACAATCAGAACAAGCAGACGTTTAGCTGTTCATAATCAGAACAAGCAAACGTTTAGCTGTTCACAATCAGAACAAGCAGACCTTGAGCTGTTCACAATCAGAACAAGCAGACGTTTAGCTGTTCATAATCAGAACAAGCAGACCTTTAGCTGTTCATAATCAGAACAAGCAGACGTTTAGCTGTTTATAATCAGAACAAGCAGACGTCTAGCTGTTAATAATCAGAGCAAGCAGACGTTTAGCTGTTCATAATCAGAACAAGCAGACGTTTAGCTGTTCATAATCAGAACAAGCAGACATTTAGCTGCTCACAATCAAAACAAGCAGACCTTTAGCTGTTCAAATCAGAACAAGCAGACGTTTAGCTGTTCACAATCAGAACAAGCAGACGTTAAGCTGTTCACAATCAGAACAAGCAGACCTTTAGCTGTTCACAATCAGAACAAGCAGACCTTTAGCTGTTCATAATCAGAACAAGCAGACGTTTAGCTGTTCATAATCAGAACAAGCAGACGTTTAGCTGTTCACAATCAGAACATGCAGACGTTAAGCTGTTCACAATCAGAACAAGCAGACCTTTAGCTGGTCATAATCAGAACAAGCAGACGTTTAGCTGTTCACAATCAGAACAAGCAGACATTTAGCTGTTCACAATCAGAACAATTCAGCAGTACTGCTGTAGATGTAGTTTACAACCTCTATCATACGGTAACTTCCCCAGCCCTGGTAACTTCCCCAGCCCTGTCACTCCATGTCAAACTGTCTACAGTAATACTGCTGTAGATGTAGTTTACATCCCAAGCCCTGTCACTACATGTCAAACTGTCTACAGTAATACTGCTGTAGATGTAGTTTACTTCCCCAGCCCTGTCACTACATGTCAAACTGTCTACAGTAATACTGTTGTAGATGTAGTTTACTTCCCCAGCCCTGTCACTACATGTCAAACTGTCTACAGTAATACTGTTGTAGATGTAGTTTACTTCCCCAGCCCTGTCACTACATGTCAAACTGTCTACAGTAATACTGTTGTAGATGTAGTTTACTTCCCCAGCCCTGTCACTACATGTCAAACTGTCTACAGTAATACTGTTGTAGATGTAGTTTACTTCCCCAGCCCTGTCACTACATGTCAAACTGTCTACAGTAATACTGTTGTAGATGTAGTTTACTTCCCCAGCCCTGTCACTACATGTCAAACTGTCTACAGTAATACTGTTGTAGATGTAGTTTACTTCCCCAGCCCTGTCACTACATGTCAAACTGTCTACAGTAATACTGTTGTAGATGTAGTTTACTTCCCCAGCCCTGTCACTACATGTCAAACTGTCTACAGTAATACTGTTGTAGATGTAGTTTACTTCCCCAGCCCTGTCACTACATGTCAAACTGTCTACAGTAATACTGCTGTAGATGTAGTTTACTTCCCCAGCCCTGTCACTACATGTCAAACTGTCTACAGTAATACTGCTGTAGATGTAGTTTACTTCCCCAGCCCTGTCACTACATGTCAAACTGTCTACAGTAATACTGCTGTAGATGTAGTTTACTTCCCCAGCCCTGTCACTACATGTCAAACTGTCTACAGTAATACTGCTGTAGATGTAGTTTACTTCCCCAGCCCTGTCACTACATGTCAAACTGTCTACAGTAATACTGCTGTAGATGTAGTTTACTTCCCCAGCCCTGTCACTACATGTCAAACTGTCTACAGTAATACTGCTGTAGATGTAGTTTACTTCCCCAGCCCTGTCACTACATGTCAAACTGTCTACAGTAATACTGCTGTAGATGTAGTTTACTTCCCCAGCCCTGTCACTACATGTCAAACTGTCTACAGTAATACTGCTGTAGATGTAGTTTACTTCCCCAGCCCTGTCACTACATGTCAAACTGTCTACAGTAATACTGCTGTAGATGTAGTTTACTTCCCCAGCCCTGTCACTACATGTCAAACTGTCTACAGTAATACTGCTGTAGATGTAGTTTACTTCCCCAGCCCTGTCACTACATGTCAAACTGTCTACAGTAATACTGCTGTAGATGTAGTTTACTTCCCCAGCCCTGTCACTACATGTCAAACTGTCTACAGTAATACTGCTGTAGATGTAGTTTACTTCCCCAGCCCTGTCACTACATGTCAAACTGTCTACAGTAATACTGCTGTAGATGTAGTTTACTTCCCCAGCCCTGTCACTACATGTCAAACTGTCTACAGTAATACTGCTGTAGATGTAGTTTACTTCCCCAGCCCTGTCACTACATGTCAAACTGTCTACAGTAATACTGCTGTAGATGTAGTTTACTTCCCCAGCCCTGTCACTACATGTCAAACTGTCTACAGTAATACTGCTGTAGATGTAGTTTACTTCCCCAGCCCTGTCACTACATGTCAAACTGTCTACAGTAATACTGCTGTAGATGTAGTTTACTTCCCCAGCCCTGTCACTACATGTCAAACTGTCTACAGTAATACTGCTGTAGATGTAGTTTACTTCCCCAGCCCTGTCACTACATGTCAAACTGTCTACAGTAATACTGCTGTAGATGTAGTTTACTTCCCCAGCCCTGTCACTACATGTCAAACTGTCTACAGTAATACTGCTGTAGATGTAGTTTACTTCCCCAGCCCTGTCACTACATGTCAAACTGTCTACAGTAATACTGTTGTAGATGTAGTTTACTTCCCCAGCCATGTCACTACATGTCAAACTATCTACAGTTATACTGTTGTAGATGTAGTTTACTTCCTCAGCCATGTCACTACATGTCAAACTGTCTACAGTAATACTGTTGTAGATGTAGTTTACTTCCCCAGCCCTGTCACTACATGTCAAACTGTCTACAGTAATACTGTTGTAGATGTAGTTTACTTCCCCAGCCCTGTCACTACATGTCAAACTGTCTACAGTTATACATTATATCAAACTTCCTCTGTTATTGATGATCCACACACCAATAATGCGTCATTAGCAAGCGAACAACTTCGTCTTTGGTATTTCATACTGTAAGGCTTCATATAGAGAACCCTTACAGTTGGTATGTATCAGCTGTAGGTATCATGTTAAAATGGGCTTACTTACAGCAAGCTGAACACAACATAATTTCAAGGCCATGATTGTAATTTCATATCAATACACATTTTTTTTAATCAAGAATACGTATTCAACATCTTAATTAAATATTAAAAAGGAACCATGACTGTAGTAGTTAATACTATAAATGTCATCCTGAATATACAATGTAGACCTCAATATACCGTGTACATAGTCCCCACTAAACAATCAGCAATCCTCTACGGAGACCTGTATCTGGGGTTTACTTTATTAATTCTTTAAAAATTTAACTTCTATAAGATCTTATTTCATGATTCACTCATCATGGTATAAACACCATACAAGCATTAGATTTTAATAAAAAATATAGTAGCTTCTCATCAGTGCATTTAGAGTTACTTTGATGAAGGCCTTAAAAACATAATTTATCAATATTTTTGCAATAATGTCAAAGATTTATCATCCAAATAAACATAGAAAATAAACAAATTCTACATTTTGAAAAAAATATAAAAACTTGTAATGCTTCCCGTCCACATCAACTTACCATCCACCATTGTTGGCAGCCTCCAACTTGAACACAATATTGGACCTGAAACATATCAATCACAAGATACATGAGAGAGATTACCAGACAACACAACATGATGAGAACATTAATGTTTAAGATTTACTACGAGTCTTGTTGGCTGTCAGTGACCCAGTGTCATCAGCAAACAAACACATCAAGTAAGTGTGACCCAGTCTCATCAGCAAATAAAACACATCCAGTAAGTGTGACCCAGTCTCATCAGCAAACAAACACATCCAGTAAGTGTGACCCAGTCTCATCAGCAAACAAAAACATCAAGTAAGTGTGACCCAGTCTCATCAGCAAACAAAAACATCGAGAAAGTGTGACCCAGTGTCATCAGCAAACAAACACACCAGGTAAGTGTGACCCAGTGTCATCAGCAAACATACACATCAAGTAAGTGTGACCCAGTCTCATCAGCAAACAAACACACCAAGTAAGTGTGACCCAGTTTCATCAGCAATCAAACACATCAAGTAAGTGTGACCCAGTATCATCAGCAAACAAAAACATCGAGAAAGTGGGACCCAGTGTCATCAGCAAACAAACACATCAAGTAAGTGTGACCCAGTCTCATCAGCAAACAAAAACATCGAGAAAGTGTGACCCAGTGTCATCAGCAAACAAACACATCATGTAAGTGTGACCCAGTCTCATCAGCAAACAAACACATCAAGTAAGTGTCACCCAGTCTCATCAGCAAACAAACACATCAAGTCAGTGTGACCCAGTCTCATCAGTAAACAAACACACCAAGTAAGTGTGACCCAGTCTCATCAGTAAATAAGCACACCAAGTAAGTGTGACCCAGTCTCATCAGTAAACAAACACACCAAGTAAGCGTGACCCAGTCTCATCAGTAAACAAACACATCAAGTAAGTGTGACCCAGTCTCATCAGCAAACAAACACATCAGGTAAGTGTTAGGTAAACCAACAATCTTCCTGGAGACATAAACATCCTCGGATGTACACAGACTCGGACATCATCCCCACAGACTCTGTATCCCCCATACATCACCCCCACAGACTCTGTATCCCCCATACATCACCCCCACAGACTCTGTATCCCCCATACATCACCCCCACAGACTCTGTATCCCCCATACATCACCCCCACAGACTCTGTATCCCCCATACATCACCCCCACAGACTCTGTATCCCCCATACATCACCCCCACAGACTCTGTATCCCCCATACATCACCCCCACAGACTCTGTATCCCCCATACATCACCCCCACAGACTCTGTATCCCCCATACATCACCCCCACAGACTCTGTATCCCCCATACATCACCCCCACAGACTCTGTATCCCCCATACATCACCCCCACAGACTCTGTATCCCCCATACATCACCCCCACAGACTCTGTATCCCCCATACATCACCCCCACAGACTCTGTATCCCACACACATCACCCCCACAGACTCTGTATCCCCCATACATCACCCCCACAGACTCTGTATCCCACATACATCACCCCCACAGACTCTGTATCCCCCATACATCACCCCCACAGACTCTGTATCCCCCATACATCACCCCCACAGACTCTGTATCCCCCATACATCACCCCCACAGACTCTGTATCCCCCATACATCACCCCCACAGACTCTGTATCCCCCATACATCACCCCCACAGACTCTGTATCCCCCATACATCACCCCCACAGACTCTGTATCCCCCATACATCACCCCCACAGACTCTGTATCCCCCATACATCACCCCCACAGACTCTGTATCCCACACAGATCACCCCCACAGACTCTGTATCCCCCATACATCACCCTCACGGACTCTGTATCCCACACACATCACCCCCACGGACTCTGTATCCCACATACATCACCCCCACAGACTCTGTATCCCCCATACATCACCCCCACAAGTACAGAGTGACAAATGTAAAACAACTAAAAGACAAACACTGAATATCATTAATTGTATTTCTGTGAGAACACAGAAATTAACTAAATGATCTGTTTCGCAAACCTCAGAGACTGAGTTACATAATCCTCTACTATGATGATATTTTGTATACTTTTCAAATTTGGGCATAATCAAGTGGCGATACATGGTGTTAAATAATGGGTAATAGATAAATAATGGGTAATAGATCAATAATGGGTAATTATAGATCAATAATGGGTAATTAATGATCAATAATTGGTAATAGATTAATAATGGGTAATTATAGATCAATAATGGGTAATAGATAAATAATGGGTAATTATAGATCAATAACGGGTAAATAATGATCAATAATGGGTAATAGATAAATAATGGGTAGTAATAGATCAATAATGGGTAATTATAGATCAATAATGGGTTATAGATAAATAATGGGTAATTATAGATCAATAATGGGTAATAGATAAATAATGGGTAATAGATAAATAATGGGTAATTATAGATCAATAATGGGTAATTATAGAACAATAATGATTTAGAAAATTGTTTTGTACATACCATGATGTACGTGTAAAATGGGGAAAAGTATTATGAGGAGATATTAGGCAATCTATATGACAAAAGATTTATACAAACATAAAGCCCGACGCCCAGCAGTTCCTTTGGCTGGTTCCTAGATGAGAAACGATGGGAATGGATTGGATGATAAACAGAATGTATCACATCGGAGCCGTTTTGCGATAGATTTGATCATGATCTGTCCAGAATACACATCACTGCGGATTGAACAGTGTACATGGTATATTCCATCAGAGGAGGCAGGAAATCCCAATCACGCGACTACTTCAATAATAACATGGTAAAATCTATGAGATATTCGCAAATCTATGAGATATTCGCCTGCCCACATTTACACCAACTGTCAAACCTTTGATAAATAGCAAAATATCTAATACATAAATAAACGAGAGGTATAAAGATATCACAGAGGGACGGCACATCTGCCATAACTGCTCGTCCATAGTGGCTGGTTTACATACATGATGTGTTAATTGTGGAACCAGTAGAGGACATTTCTGGTTCACTGGGCCACACCGTTGTGGCAATCATTAGTTTGGAAGTCTGGGGAAATCGCCAGTTACACACTGCAGCAACTTCATAACCGGTATGATTTACTGACGACATGTCATCTTAACACACCATCATGACTACACTCCCCATATTTCTACCTAAGCCAAGGATGCCTGGGCGCCGTCAAATTCTACCGCATTACCTTTAATGCCAGTATAACAGCCATCAATCTACGTGTTAGAATCATGCAATTCGGTAAAATTTCAACCACATAAACTAGTTGCACTGCTGTCCAGACAGGTCTATTGCTTTCGAAAGGATTCATTTCAAAAAATCATTCAGAAAGCAGGAAATTGTGTATGACCTGCAGTGAGCACATCATTGACAGCTTTCTGATGTATGTTCAGCATCACTTCAATAGCAGGTCCAATATTCCTTAGGATTGCCACTTTTATATTGGCTACATGTGAACTGACTGTTAAATAGACAACAATGTCCCTACTGCTTGCTGGCAGGCCAAAATGCAGTCCCAATATTTTCAATTTCATATAAAGTAAACATACTGCAGTGTATATAGATTCATAACAGAGTTGCTCAATTTCCATGTAAAAACTCAATATCATCAGGGGAAAGCTGGTTTCATACACATGTAGGTCAATATGCCTTTTGTCTATTCTATCAATACTACCGGACCAGGACCTCGCCTTCTGTCTATTCTATCAGTACTACCGGACCAGGACCTCGCCTTCTGTCTATTCTACCAATACTACTGGACCAGGACCATGCCTTCTGTCTATTCTATCAATACTACTGGACCAGGACCTCGCCTTCTGTCTATTCTATCAATACTTCCTGACCAGGACCTCGCCTTCTGTCTACTCTATCGGTACTACCTGACCAGGACCTCGCCTTCTGTCTATTCTATCAATACTTCCTGACCAGGACCATGCCTTCTGTCTATTCTATCAATACTACTGGACCAGGACCTCTCCTTCTGTCTATTCTATCAATACTTCCTGACCAGGACCTCGCCTTCTGTCTATTCTATCAGTACTACCTGACCAGGACCATGCCTTATGTCTATTCTATCAGTACTACTGGACCAGGACCATGCCTTCTGTCTATTCTATCAACACTACCTGACCAGGACCATGCCTTCAGTCTATTCTATCAACACGACCTGACCAGGACCTCACCTTCTGTCTATTCTATCAATACTACTGGACCAAGACCTCATCTTCTGTCTATTCTATCAACACTACTGGACCAGGACCATGCCTTCTGTCTATTCTATCAGTACTTCCGGACCAGGACCTTCTGTCTATTCTATCAATACTACCGGACCAGGACCTCGCGTTCTTTCTATTCTATCAATACTACCTGACCAGGACCATGCCTTCTGTCTACTCTATCAGTACTACCTGACCAGGACCATGCATTCTGTCTATTCTATCAGTACTACCTGACCAGGCCCTCGCCTTCTGTCTATTCTATCAGTACTACTGGACCAGGCCCTCGCCTTCTGTCTATTCTATCAATACTACTTGACCAGGACCTTGCCTTCTGTCTATTCTATCAGTCCTTCCGGACCAGGACCATGCCTTCTGTCTATTCTATCCATACTACTGGACCAGGACCTCGCCTTCTGGACCAGGACCATGCCTTCTGTCTATTCTATCAGTAATACCTGACCAGGACCTCGCCTTCTGTCTATACTATCAGTACTACCTGACCAGGACCGTGCCTTCTGTCTATTCTATCAGTACTACCTGGCCAGGACCTTGCCTTCTGTCTATTCTATCAGTACTTCCGGACCAGGACCTTCTGTCTATTCTATCAATACTACCGGACCAAGACCATGCCTTCTGTCTATTCTATCAGTACTTCCGGACCAGGACCTTCTGTCTATTCTATCAATACTACCGGACCAGGACCTCGCGTTCTGTCTATTCTATCAATACTCCCTGACCAGGACCATGCCTTCTGTCTATTCTATCAGTACTACCGGACCAGGACCATGCCTTCTGT